TCTCGGGGCAAAGACAGAAGAAAAAGAGGATCGTGACGGGACCAAAAACCAGAAGAAACAGGAGAATCAAGAAGCATCTTCTTAGCCCCAGGACTCGTAACAAACTTAAACATAAGACAATTGAGCGCCGACGTGGGTGTCCTTTACGGGCCATAACCCTGAAGCTCATCTGCTTCGTCTGACGTAAGTTGCTAGGGCTCGACGGGGGCGTCGAGAAGTGGTCTGGGCTAACTGTCAGGAGGCCGCAAGCAGTGCACCGCCTGAAATCTACGGTTTTGGGACTTAGGCGCGAACACGAGTCTGAGTTTTGATGGTACTCTGGTTAGACCATGCAGCGGAGATTAGGGGACCTCGGGGCGCCCTTGATTTTGGGTGCGCTAGACCTTACGGGTAACCCTAAAAAATGGCAAGATGAGTGGTCGCACTCGGCACATCAACGGACCGTCATTTCCGGCCGTTCAGAGGGTTAGACCCGAATTGACCTGCCGCGAGGGGGCATCGCGGGGACTAACCCCGCGGCGACGTTCTTTGCAGCGTATGATCGAGGTCAAAATAGCGCCTCAAATTTTTGTCATTTTTGGTATCTAAATCAAAGATGGGAGAAGAGATTGAGATCAGTAGGAGGGAAGAGAAAAACGTAATATTCCTTAATTTCCTTGTTTTTCACAGCATTTGAGTTTTGGAGAAAATACTCCGTTATTTTTATGTTTTCCGGCAATGGAATTGCAAACAAAGGAAAAKATTAAAAACGATAAAGGAGGAAAGGWACWAAGAATTTCAACAATTTMATTAAGACTTTCTCGGAATTTATTTTTGGTAGGTTTACGATTATTTTACTATTTCGGGTAATAGAGTTAAAAAAAGGGGTGGGATGATTAAAAATGATGGAACGAACAAGAACCGATGATTATTCGATGGTTGGCCTGATTTTGCTTGGATTTCCCACCGTCGGCTCTGAACCCCGATTAATCAATCTTCTCTGGATCGCAACCCTTTTCGCCAATCTGATGATCAAGGTTTTCGTGCCACTTTCCCGATCCACCTATTTACTAACTTCACTGTGAMAGTCCGAGGACGATCGCATGGACARCATGGGGTGGTGCTATCTTGGGTCGACTATAGTGTTTGGTTCAGTACGGATATGAGGGTTGTTACGGAGTGGCTTCGTACTACGGTGTCTGRCCGGTGACAGTTGTTTCACAACGGTGASTTATTTTCAGGTTTGGGACAGGTACGRCGATTTATTCTCAGGGYCGGGGCTRCTACGACAGTTATTCCAGGTTAGAGACGTTGGCGGCAGTTTATCCCAGGTTCGGCGTTATCACGGATATTTAACCCAGGTTCGGCACCGTCACTGCGGCTATTTATTCCACATTTGGTGCCACTATGGTGCTTTATTTCAGCTTTGGGACCACGGTATTGTGCGGCAKTTGACATGTTCTCAGATT